TTTTTTCCCCAGGTGGCTAGAGGCTCAGCCACTTCAGTTTTGTTAGAGGCCTTTCTGAATCATTGGAAGGTTTAATACTTGTATGTAATAAGCTAGATTTTTTTTTTTTTTTGGGGGGGGTGAAAGCAGTAGAAGGTATGCTTTCTGATTCTTGAAACAAAACAAGTCTTTTCTGTTTCTTACCTTTTACAAATTAGATTGAACTCAGTTTCAAAGCAGAAGATTGAAACACTAACTTCTAAAAATGTTAGTTCTTAAAAATATTGGTTTCCTGTCCTGAGCTATCTGCTAATCATGTTGGAATATGGCTTCAGTCTGAAGCTGCATTTTCCTTTAACTACTTGCATGAAAATGTGAGATTATTCAAATGAAATGGTCTCTTCTTCCCCCCATCCCCCATTCAGGAAGGATTAATTGTTAAAGCTGAAGTGCAAGTAAATTCTTTGTGAAGAGTGTTGCCAGGCTTTGCCTGTTAGTGTTTAACTGGTGGCACAAATTTAATTTTTGAAAAGCTATATTTATTTTCATTTTTAAAATCACATTAAAATTATAGGGTTTATTAAACTAATAGCCAATAAAATTGTTAACTGTGGGCTTATTAGACTTTCTTTGACTTCCTCAGATAGAGACTCTGATTGTATTTTAATATCTAGGAGTATTTTTCTTTGGCTCCATGCGAAATGCAGAAGAAAGCCAGCCTGACTTTCTCATGTTGTCAAGAGCCGCACGTTGTTCAGCATTAGCTTTAGACCAATTTGTGGCAAACTTTCATGTTCTAAAAAATCCCCAAATGACTCCTAGTTTTGCTCATAGCCAGAGATAAAGCTAGCTAAGATATGGCGGCTGAAGGGTGAGGAGGAGTAATTTCTTGGCAGCCAACCACCAAGCAGTAAAAAACAACAAAAAAACCCCCAAACTGTAGAACTAAAAGGCCATTTCAGACCAGTTACCTTATGTCATCTGAGAGTCCAAAGTGATTTACTCCTTACCAATGCATTAAAAAAAAAAAAAAGCAGACAGAATCAAGTTCTGGCACAGAAAAGTTAATATATTTCAAAAAATGATGATAAATTATTAATAAGGAAATTATTGTCATCAATACTCCTGTCAATACCAGAATGAAAGGAAACTTATGTCTTCGAAGTATTTTTCTTATAAGAAATTGTCTTGCAAAATGAAACCAATAGGATTTAAAGTTTGCTCTCAAGTTTTACAGAGGGTCAAACACTCTTTTTAAAATTTGCTGTGGGACTTTAGTGGGCACTGAAATAATAAGGCTCCTGAGCCCATATTTAATGAGGGTCATCTTACTTTGTTCAAACTGCTGTCTTGCTGCCTTGATCCCAGTGCAGGAACACAGCGTCACCTTCGCAATTTGAAGAAATTCATTTTGACACCTTGGCAAATGGTGTGAGGGGAAACCATTGCTGCTTCCTGCTGAGGCTCTCACCTGGTGTTGGGGGGTGGTGTGTGTGTGTGTCAAGGCAAAAGGGTGTTATTTTACACACAGCTGAGAAAGTTGCTAGAAATGTGGTGTTTTTGGTTTCACAGAAGACATTTTTTGAAGGCAGCCTTCCACTGTCAGTGAACAATGTCTTTATGTGGCTGTTTTGATCTTAGCGTTTTGAATCTCTTCAGGGAAGAAAAAAATCACTGAATTAAAATAGAGAAAAATGAGGAATGAGGCAGGATGAAGCCTGCTTGCCTTATCAGATGACTTTGGTACTGTAGAAGTAAATGCTGCAGGACTGCCGAGACATACATTAACTAAATAGCAATGGTTGCTGGTGTAATAACCACTAAGCAAACAGTTCTGTAGATTCTGAACCTGCGTCTCTTCCCATATGCAAAAATGCAAGGAGATAATTCCCTAGGTACTTTAAACTGGAGAAAGTTAGTTATTAGAAAAGCTGAGGATTGGCTTAGTGGAGTTATTCCACTGCAAGAGGGCAGTTGGGTCTTTCTTGTTTTTAATAAACGATGGTTGAAGCTGATCAATTGTTAGCAAATTTGAATGGCAGTAGATTTTCCCTCTTTTACCCTCTCGCTGGAACACGGTGACTATCCAGTTTGCCAAAACACTGGGCATGTAGAGTCCAGGCCTCCCCTATAGAGAGGGTGCTGTAGTTCAGGAGAAGCAAAGCTACCCCTTGCATACCATGTCCTGGAGGAAAATGTTTAAAACCTTACCCCCACAGAAGTCCGTGTTAAACAAGCTAGATGCTTGTGGAGTAGTATTTATTGCCTGTGCTTCTGCCCGTCTGTGGCACCCACCACCTAGGAGATGGGTGAAGGGGAGTCTGCATCCAGGAGAGCAGGGCTTCTGCTGACCAAGGCAGCTTTAACCTTTCCTGGTAACGTATTGATGAGCACAATTCATTTTGTGGACTACGCAGGCTTCACAGCTTTGCTCCTGTAAAATTGCAGCAGTTCTGCCCAGTCACACCTCTGCTCAGGTATGATCCCCACTTCCACACCCTCGTCCCAGCTAGTCCAAGCACAGGGTGAGTTTAGTCCAAGTCCTTTAGCAAGCTAAAGGCTTGCTCTGTGCCTCCTGCACTGAGGGTAAAGAAGAAATATTTTCTGCTAGTTTGGAGCAAGAAACTCTTTATTTGAATAATAAAATGTATATATGTATTTTTTAAATCCCTGGAACCACGTTTTTCATGTGTTGTTTACCACATTATTTCTTCCTTGACATTTCAATGGATCTTCTGTGGTCTTGCCTCCTGCAAAGGAGCCAGAGTTCACAGGGCAGGCAAAGGGTGAGCTGGAACCATCGTTCATGCTTGTTTGAGGGAGGGGGTAGACTCATCCCTGAAATTTTAGCTAACGTATGTTAAATCTTCTTAACAGCACCTGATGAAATTAATTCTTTAGATGAATGTAAAAAGACATTTCTGCATCAGTCAGAATAATCAGCCAGAACTTGTCATGGTCATTGCTGATTTGTTCACCAAATAGTGCAATCAAATCTTTGACCAGAATAAATAGAAGCTCAATATAATAGAAGTGAGGTAGCTTCAAAGTTTGGTTTTTATTTTGTTTTTTTTTTGCATACAAATACATATATATAAAAAATACATGTATGTGTTTATATATTATGTATGTATTTATGCAAGACATGTATGTATTTTACAGCACTATTTATAGTTAATGCTGTGCTATAAAGTAGCCATGATAAATTTCTAGCTGAAATACAGTCTCTGTTGCTTACTTCAGCATTCAAAATGCTAGAAATGAGAATGTTCATTCTTTCATGCACCAGAGTGAGTTATTCACGTGAGGCTGGATAGGACCTTACAAGATTGTCACATGATCTATGAATACTTAAAGTGTGGATATGCACCATTGCTGCGATTGGCAAGACAAGCTGTAGCAATATGTGGGGCGTGAATCTCTTAGAAGTGCAGCATGGCTGGACTTCACAGAGATCTGCTGTCTCATCAAAATGGACTTGGAGAGAAAAATGTGCCTAGCAGCATTTTTAAAGTCAGAAGAGCTTTGGTGTCAGGCTGAATTGAAAATGAGATTCATGCAGCTGAATTAGAATCTGTGCAAAGGAGATGTCTCCCTTCCAAAAGGAGAGATGGACTGTATGATTGTAGTTGGCTTTAGCTTGAACACACCTTTCTCATTGCCTGACAGCTGGATTGCACAGCATAGCTAGGTGAGCTGGTATTTACTACATTGAAGTCACCCACGTTGGGAAAACAACCAGTGTTACTGTCACATGGTGTGCATGGCATGTGCATGCCCTGCCAGAAATCATCAGGGAGAGATGTGGGCACGGGGCAGGTGCAGAATCCTAATGGGGTTGTTTCTTCTCTTGCTTGATTACTTTGAGTAGGAACAAATGAATCAGTTGTGCAGACAGTTAAATTCTCATCATTAGTCTTCAGAGTAAACAACTTAGACATGAACTTTGCAGACCTCTACAGACAGCACAGCACTGAGCGCTTCTCACTGCATATTGTGACTATGCAGGCAGAGACTGGGGTGGTACAAATCTGCATAGCTCCACTGGCAGGGAAAACAGCAAGCCAAAAGATACACAGCAATCTATGTGTATCCCTGTTTGTCTAGGAGCCTCTGGAATGGTTCACTTTCTATTAAGGGAAGAATTGCTACTAAAAGAGCATGAGCTTCCCTACCTGCCCTGCCCAGCTGTGGGTTGGACTTAAAAGGAGTTGTAAATGCTAACATGATCTTTGGCCAAAATGTGTTTTTAACTCCATCCTCAATTACAGCAGTGTATGATGGAATATAGCAGAAAAAAAATCCACAATAAGTATTAATTATAACAATTCATATTTTAAGAAAGCATTTTTTTACAATGAGAACAATCAATCACTGGAACAACCTCCCCAGGGATGTGGTGGAGTTCCCATTGGTGGAGGTTTTAGAGATGTGACTGGACAGGATGCTAGGTAATCTCATCCAGGCTCCCTTTCCCATGAAAGGTTGGACCAGATGATCTTTTGAGGTCCTTCCAACCCGGGCTGTTTGTATTTCCTCAGCACTGCTCAGCTTAGGGTCTCAGCTCACTTTCAAAGACTCAGCTCTCAGAACGGCCTGAAGGCAGTCATGCCTTATCTCCACATTGCAGATTTCTGTTGACCAAAGTCAACATGGGATTCAGTGGAGGATGAAGGATTTAACTCAGGCCATGTGTAACAAAACCTCTCTTGATGAGAATAGATCCTGCCATTGGTTTGAGCCTGCCCGGGTGAGCTGCTTGAAGATCCTTGCAAATTATTGCAGTCTCCATCACTGGCGGTTTGAACTGGCCTCACTTCTTATATGGCTGTCATGAGCTTAGGCTAGATCTGTGTAGACAAAACCCTGCTTACCGGTAAATCAGAACAACATTGATAGGGAGTAGAAAAAGAATAGTGTCAATCTAAAAAATGGCATTTTCCCTGAACAACTAGCAAATATTTTTTTAAAACCTTGAAAGTTTAATTCAAAGCTTACTGTGTTCTCTTTTATATTCACAGGCATATTCTGAAAACAATAATTCTGGGCCAGATGCTCTCCTTGTTTATCTGTGGGACTGCTGTTACAAGCCAGTATCTAGCAGAACAATACCAAGTGAATACTCCAATGTTTCAAAGTTTTATCAACTATTCTTTGCTGCTTCTAGTTTATACAACAATGCTGGCATTTAGGACTGGTATGTGAAATATGGGATGGGAGATTCTGGTTCATAATTTTTTTTTTTCTTGTCTACATTTCCCTTTCAGATTTTGAAACTAAAGAACTCAATACTCATCCTAGTTTTTTAAAGTTCCTGCTGAAATTCCTGCTTTGTAATAACACATGGAAATGAATTTTGCAGGTTAAATATGCATTTAATTTGATTTCATTTCATATCTGTTTAAAATTATGTGCTGTTTGGTTTCAAGTCCTATGTTATATTAGGGAAAATAGGCTTTGTTGTAACACGCTTCTTTACCAGAGGCCATTTAGTAGTTGTCCTATACTTATTAATTTACTCTTTAAACAACTCTGGTCTTGTGGTTTTTTTCCCTCATGTGGAAGAATTTCTGTGCCTTTCACCATTTGCATTGTCTCCTCTCAGGCTGCATTTTGCTGCTATTGTATCTTTCTTGAGCAGGGGCAACTGAAATTGAACATCTCAGTATTATTTATGCTTCTAAAAAGCATACAACAACATTCTATGCAACTTTTGGTTGGAAAGAAACACATATTGATTGCTGCTTTCTTCTAAACAGGCAGTGACAGTCTTTGGCAAATTTTGAAACAGAGGTGGTGGAAGTATATTTTTTTGGGACTGGCTGATGTTGAAGCCAATTACATGATTGTAAAAGCCTACCAATACACGACCCTCACAAGTGTGCAGGTAAGAACCGGTCTCTCTTTTTGAACTGTTGCTTTCATTGCAGTTTTGGACCAGTTTCTAAAATGAGATTCATAGGACAGACATGGAAGCTATTTAAGCCTGAAAAAACTTTCTGATATTTATTTTCTCCCTGCAGTACAGGGAAGAGCATCCTGCCTCATGAATAACATTTCCAGGAAGCAGAGAAAATTGGCTGGTATTACCCAGTGCCAGCTCTTGAGTTGAACTCTAATTATTTTGATAGAAAGCACTTCTACAAGTTTGCTGATAGCCACTCAGGGTTTTTCTCCTGATGTGAAGATTTACGACCAGGTAACACTCACACAGCACAGGTTCTTGCTGATGAGAGCAAGGTAGATCTCTTGCCTAGTCCTAGAAGCTGTGGGAGGCATTGCGAGGTGTAACCCCACATGTGAGGACATACTGATAGTTAGCTGGTGTTGCTGACCAGGCAGTGAGGGACCAGCCCTTTGGCTTTTGGATGTGGCGCTTCAGTTCAGGCCCCTCTCTGGAAGAGATGGAAGGGAGGTCAGCGTGCCAGGCTCCTGAAGTGACAGTAGACGTCCTGTGCAACATCAGTGCTTGGTGCTGCGTCGTTGCACTAGGATAAATCTTGGGTTCTGAAATAGCTCTACGAGCAGGAGGGCTAGGGCTGGGGTTTCTTTGTCACCCTACACAGACATAAGTGGCTGGAAGGTTGGTACCTTCTTCCTGCTTCCAGCTGTATGCTCCTGACCTTGCATGGCCAAATCCCATGAGCAAACTGGCTCAGGGCACTGAGTAAATTCAGAGTAAACCCTGCCTTTTGCTGGACTGTTGGCAAGTGGTGTCAGGCCCGAGTTAGCTCGCTGTGTGGCTCCACAGCTGCTGCTGGAACAAGGAGGGACATGATGCAGAAGCAAGGAGGGAGTGTATCTGGGGCTGTGCCAGCCTGTGCCACTGGATCTGTGGCTGGGGTCATGGCCCCACTTACCTGAATAGAAAAATAACGTACTGTACAAAATTGGCTGTTAGTTGGAAAGGAGTGTTTAGGAGTCAACCTAACCAGGGTTAATATTTAAAAGAATTACCTGTAAAGCAATAAAATCCTGTGGTCTGGGCTCCCTTTAGAGAACTGCAGTAACTTTTCTTTGCTACTTAAAAACTAGTAACATGTGTCTGTTGGATTATTATTGTTACATTTCACTTCATACTTATGTGCTATGACTCATTGGGCCATTAATTTCCTTACAAATAAATGCCTAAGAAATCAAAGCTTTAAGAGACATTTCAGTCTCAGGATCATGTTAAGCTGATAACTGAGACACTGTTTGATCATATACTTTGCAGCTGAAAAAGCCAGGACTTTAATCCAAGTTCTCAGAAGTAGTAAAGCTATTCCCATGATTTCTTTCATAGAAATTAAGAAAGAATAGATAGAGTAGGTTGTCCTGTCCGGTTGCCAAACTCAAGCATTTGCTGAACCTTTTTTCGGTGTGGTAACCTTCAGACTGATGCTGCTTTGTGTCAGTTCAGTAATTGTGAATTTGTTGTAACTGCCTGTTGTCGTAAGGTTTCTTGCACATTCTCTGAAGTCACCAGTTTCTCACCACTGTCAGAAATGAGATACAGGACAAAGAAAAAAGCCTGTGATTTGCTCTAGTGCAAGGCATTTGCTGTCTGTCAGTAGCAAGCAGTTCTGCAGCTACATCAGAACCTGTGGTTCGGAGCACCCAGCCTGATGGCTTGTCTGCAGTACTGGCTGTGAGTCGATGCCCAGGGAGCATAAAAGCAACGCAGGAGTATATGGCACCTTCCTGAATACAGGGTAATCACTGTTGAAATGCTGGCTGGCTGGAACTTCAGCTCAACCCTATGGAACTTTTCTTCAAAGATAAGTTTTCTCAGCTCAGTAGGGAACTTCCATGTATTTTCTCACTCATGAACACAAGAACAGAACTGATTTTCCTTTACTTATCAAATACCAGCTTTGCATGGAAAGGGTTGGGAGATTTTTAAGGAGATAACATTGGGATGGCAGCTCTCATTTCTCTGTAAACAAAGAAAAAGACTTTGGTTCACAACTGAACTCCTTCTGTTTGGCTGTGGCTGAGGCAATGCCATGGAGACTTCTTGCTGCTGGTGTCCTTCTGTCTTGTGGCAGGACTTGACTGTGCTGTTGTTTGACCACATATGTCATGGCAAAAAAAAAAAAAAAGCAGCATAGCTGTGGTTTCATGTTGTTAACATGCTAGTGGGCACAATTAGCATTTGCTCTGTAGATAATTTAAGTGGAGGCATTTTATAGGAGGCTATTGACAGAATAGCAGCTGATGGAAGAGTGTTAACCTCAACAGGAGAAAATGCAGGATGAGCCCCTGGGGCTCAGCTGGAGGTTGCCCTAAGGAAGCCTTGCAGGGTAGCGAGCAGGATGAGCTGTTGAGCTTTCTTACTCAGAAAGCTGTGTGGAGCTGGCAATTATAAGCGAACCAATGACCTCCAATAGTCTATGATAATTTATTAACCATATATTAATTAATAATTTACTCGCCCTGCCTTTAAAACCTCCTATAAACAGTGTGGCCAAAGCCTGGCTTGAGTCAAAACATTTGTAAATCAAATCACCGGGTTTTGTTGTTTTGGTTTTTTTTCCCTTGTAAAATACAGGCTAGAATTGAATAAGATGAGAGTTTGCTGAGGCTCTACTGGCAGTAGTAATCAGCACTGCAGTACTGCTGTGAATGTCATAAAACTTGAATAAATACACTTTATTCTTTTAAATGGTTCCATTGATACAATTCATTGCAGTATTACATCTGCTTTGCACCTCTTTGATCTTGATCCTGTACAGAAGAGAGCATTTTCCACCAAAGAGCTCTGTAACATAGTAGATGAAGGGAAGCCAAGATCCAGGAGTTGGAAATCAGATTTCTTCTGACTGTAGTTGAGTATAATTGTCTCCTGCAACAGATTACCAGAGCGTGTTCTTCATCATTTGGTGCCTGTGTGTCCTGGCTGCAAGTCCTCTAACCAGGATGCTGGAGCTGTACAGTATGTTATTGGTCTGGATGAAGCAATTCCCCATCTGGCGTTCCTGAAAGAGCTTCTGGCTCATTATGTACTACTCCCTTTACATCCTAATTAAGAAATTTTTTTTAAAGGGTTTTTCTTCCACTCTTTCTGTTTGGGTTGAAAAACTGCTTGGAGGTTGGAAAGCTATGTGGTAACATCTCAGTTAATGGGGAAGTGAAAGCTTACTTATTAGTAGAAGAGATGTCTACTACCAGGGAGGTATACATTTTGCTTTCTAATGTTTGCAGTATTTCTTGTTGTTTGATACTAATCAAAACAGTCAAATTTGGAGGAAATGTTAGAAGGTTTTTTCTTGAGGTAAGAATAGAGAAGAAAGAAAAGGTAAGATAGAGAAAAAGGCCTATGACTAGATAGAAACTTGCAGCATGATATTTTTCAGTAGAGCAAAGTTGTATTGGAATATGTGGTATCACTTATTAGGACTTGTGTGGTTGCAGTGTCTCATAATACAGTACATACAAGTGCTTTTGAGCTTTACAGACTGGACAAGCTGGAGGCAATCCAAGGAGCAAAGACAAATAGATGGATTTAATCTGTAATAACTTCCCTTCATGCTATGCTTGTAAGACTTTAATATATGCAGTTATGAACAAATAAAACCAGACGTATCATAAAAGTCTTACGAGTTTGGTTAAAACCCTTGGGGACAACAGCTGAACTAACGGAAGCCAGCACAGAAGACGACTGCAGTGGTGCACTTAGGCAGGCAGAGGTTGGCAATGAACATTAAGGACTAAGGGCTCTTGTCTTGATTGTAATGATTATGGCCCAGTCCTATTGACGTGGACCTAACAATTTGTAGGGACTTCAAGAGGGCCAAGATTTAAGGGCTGACATTTGAGAGTAATTTGTGAGCAGTCTTTGGAAGGCTGACTGTAAGTTCTGCTGTAGACCGTTCCCTTACACAGTTTAACGGCACTCTACCAAGGCAGGTCAGAAAATACACCCTTTTTTCCTCCAGACAAATTCAGAAATAAAGTATGTTTTGTTCAATTAAATATTAAACCAATTATGATTAGCTCAATGTTCTTGGTATTATTTGATTATTCTAGAACATTATGCCCATCTTATGCTGTGGCATATTTTTCTGTATTAAGTACACAGTTCAGTCTTGATATTTTCTGTAATAAAGGAGAATGGGTGGAAGATGGGCGAGTCTAGCAGCAAGGCAGAGAGACGTAGGATTTTAGGAACATACACAGAGGGGATAATAAAGGAAAGAAGTCAGTGTCACTGCTTGTTATGGAGTGCAGGCATCCTTGAACCATAGCTGTTCAGTCTGCTCAGGGCAGTGTCTGCAAACACATCTGAAGTGCTTTGAAACTCCAGCTGCCTTGTATGCCCTGCTGCTGGGGCATGGGTGAATTAGAGTGGGTTACCTACTTCTGATCAGTCGAGAGTCAGCTCTATCAGAGTAATGAAAAAGCACTGGTGGCTTGTATGTGCTTTTGTGGGAAGCTGGAAGATTGGGAAGGTGACTTCAGGAAAGCTGTTCTTCCCTTCCTGTCTTCCTTCTACCGATTTTGCCCATGGCTTCCAGCACACGTACCAAAAATCGAAACCAAAACTGCAAGGTCAGATTCTTGTCCTAATCACTTCAATGTAAAATCAGATTACTTGTATCCTTCAGTAGTTCCAGATTTTTATTTTGTGTACATGGAGCCCTAAATTCTAGAGATTTGAGGAGTGAAAAGACAACCTAGACGAAACCTGCTGGGGAGAAAAGGAAACATCGGTGAACCACCTCCTTGCATTGGTGTCATGGGGAGCAACACGATTTCAGAGCGACATCCTAGCATTCATTTGTAAAGCTGCAAAGATTGATTAGGTCTATCATTAGAAGAGTTTCTGGATCAGTGCTTTCCTATCAGGAGAGAGTGGACCCCCACCCCAGTTCCTCCTTCACTTGCAAAATTCTTTTCATGGTAAAATGTGGGTCTGACCCCCTTTTTAAATGAATCTGCTGGGGTTGCTTTGTGGCTTTCAATAACATCTGACAGTGATGGAAAGTAAGATCCTGTACATTCGCTTTCAGGATAGTGCAATCCAGATTTGGGGTGGGTTTCTAATGCAAACTATTTCTCTGTACACACAGCTGCTGGACTGTTTCGGGATTCCTGTGCTGATGGCTTTGTCATGGTTCATTCTCCGTGCAAGATACAGGCTGATCCATTTTCTTGCTGTTGCCGTCTGTTTGCTGGGTGTAGGAACAATGGTGGGTGCGGACATTTTGGCAGGGAGGCAGGACAGTGAAGGTAAGGAGTCTTGTATTGTGGGGGGGAAGAGCGGAGAGATGGTTCCCATGGTGGGCTAACTTGTAAAGGAGTAGGAGGAGCAAATGCAGGGGGAGTGGATGTAGTTTTATTTTAAAAGAGAAGAGGAGAAGACATGCTGCTATTTGTATTTCTTGTCCAAGAAGATAGTGGCTGAGGAGATGCTGATTTTGGAGGGAGCTGTCGAATTTCTTTGCTTGTAGGTTTGGATTAGTTCTTCCACCTTAAAAGAGAAACACTAAAGCTTAAATTAAGCTTAAATTTTGCTGCTGTTCATCAGACCTGATGAAAGCCCTCATTCTTGAAAGCTTGTTCGCTTTTACTAATTATGTGAGATGGTCTAATAAAAGGTACTGCCTCTCCCTGCAAACCTTGTCTTGCGTACATGATATCAGCCTGCTGGCAGCCAGACTTCTCTGATTTGCAGTTTTCTATAAGCACAAGTAGCAAATAAAAAGTTACTCAGCAGCAGCTGACTTCTCTGAGTTATCTTTGGCAGACCCAACAGAAATGCTCCACATATCCCCAAGGCCCACAGGTCACAGCCTGGAAAGCAGAGGCTTACTATGGGAGAGCAAGAGGAGACATGAGCAGGATGCTGGGATTCCTGGGACCTCTGGGAGAGAGGCTGGGCTCTGCGGACCAGGATCCAGCTGGGTGCAGATAAGGGCAGGTCTCGTCTTCTCTATGGCAGATACCTAAATCAACCTGTATCATAGCGATCTTACTTTGAGTAAGAATTTTGAATTTTCAGACCCAGGGGGTATGCAGCAAGGTAAATTTCAGGGCATTGCCTTCATCAGGCAGCCTAGGGATAAGCCTGTTTGGTGTTATTTTGGGGCCTTGCTGTAGGTAAGACAAGACAAACTGAGGTTTAGCTTTAATGTTGTGTGGTACAAGTATCTCAGTCCTGAGAGAGAAAAACCTTTCCCCAAGGCTTTAAGACAGTTGTGCTTTATTTGCTGACCTGTGTGTCCTTACTACAGCTTACCCTCATATTTTAGACATATTTTTTTACTGATTGCCAACTGGCTCAGGGAATGAAATTTTAAATCAATTCAAGGATTTAAACAACAGCAATCCTCTTGCTATTTAGCTGATGCATAATGGCATTTACTTGACGAGTGATTGTATTGGAGGGAGTCCCATTTGCACAGTATAAATAAATCGTAGCAGGACACATGGTACCACCCGTCTGCAGTGCCCACTTAAGACCTGTCGTAAACCTGAAGCTGAGTCCAGGTCCTGCTGAAATCAATAGTCTGATTTTAGCAAGACTTGAATCAGGCCTGACTGCAAAAGCAGGGGCAATATTCAGAAAGGTGGAGAGCTTCTCTAGCTGAGAGTTTTCTCAGGTCCCTGCAGTGCCTAAGGTCAGCAGAAGTAGAATTAGACCAGGCTATACAGCACTGGCTTGGTCAGGATGGGATTTAAATGCCAGGTTTAGCTCATTCCAGGGTGAGGTGAGCAGGTAGCAGAGTCCGTGCTCAGACACCAAGCCACTTGTCTGTACACGCAGGAGATGTTTCCTTTCCCCTTACCCTGGAAGGTAGACATGTTAGAGATAAATTTGCTTGTCTTTTTAAGGAAAGTTAAAAAGTGTTTGCAGCATTACCCTTATTGTGGATTAATATTTCTGTACAGGTAGTGACGTGGTGATTGGAGATGTCTTAGTGCTTCTTGGTGCTTCTTTGTATGCCATTTCTAATGTGAGTGAGGAGTACATTGTGAAAAATCTGAGCAGAGTGGAGTTTCTAGGAATGGTGGGCTTGTTTGGGACTATTATCAGCGGTCTACAGCTGTAAGGATCTAATATTTATTTTAAAACTAATTAAGAATTTCTACAGATGATTGCTTGTCTACCATGAAATGATGTTGTTGTTATTAAATTAATTCTGTGTTACATCTGCATTTGGCCTATATGGGAGTCCCTCCACTTGAATTTTATTTTTGTTGATGATCAGCATCGTTTTATATCCTTTGTATTTGTACTAATCTTATTACAGCAATTCTAAAGTGAAATCCTGCATTGAACACATATGATACTTGGCTGTATTTTTGATTTTGTTGATCTTCACAAGGACACTCAGTATACTGAGGAGTGTTCACAAGAATGTGTTTCTTAATGGGTTTTCTCTGTGGAAAAGTTTAGGAGATAATTGTTAGCAGGAGGTCTTCCATATTAAACTTCAGTTTAAAATGAAGCCATGTATACTCTTATAAATAACCACATTAGAGTAAGAGACGATGTGCACTTAAGTCTGTCTAATCAATTTTATGTCCCTCATTTCTCATCATTACAGTTAATAATTTCCTTGAATGGTATATCAAGTAAAACTGATAAAAAAGGATGAAAAAGCCTGGGAAGTAGCATAAGAATTAAATAATTTTGAAATTTTTTTTCATGCTTGTTAGATGTTGGAGTTAGTGTCATTCAATAAAATTTCAAACAAAAAATTAAGGGATTATAAATAAAAATATTTCCTAAATCTTTTGATAATTATTTTTCTATTTGAATATGATTTTTTTTCTTTTTTACTGTATTATAACTTTTCTCTAACTCTAGAGCCATTGTGGAACATAGGGAGATAATGAGAATTCAGTGGAACTGGAAAATTGGTATGTGTATGACAAAATGATGTGCATTTTTACAGAACACTGGAAAATAATAATTTAGACTTTGAATGCTGGGGTTTTCATTTTCTTTCTCTGGATATCTGGAAGCAGCATTCATATCATATTGTCACAAATTTATTTTCTGCAAACTTTGCAGCTCAGCAAAGAGATAAGATTTGCAGGATTGAACATTAAAACCTTTGAGCTCAGTTGGTTTTTTTTACATATAACATGAAATAATTTTTCAAAATAAATTGAAATAAGTAAAAATTAATCCTGTTTAATTACAGATGTGTTTGGTGTTGGAACATCTCAAGAATATTTTTCTGTTGTCCTTCCTAAATAAAATACTGGAAAAATGGATTTTGTAACACATTTTGACCTCAACAGAACTGTGTGTTATTAAGAAATGTGACTCTAAATTTCTTCAGTGAGCTCTTAGGTTAAACTAGGAAAGAATAAGAACTTTCTTGTATAGATACAGTAATTTTTGCAATACAGAGTAGTCTTGGAAAAGAAGTATTTCTTCCATGTTTTTCTTAAATTTACACTCCCATATCTTTTTGGACACCTTATCCTAAAAGTTAAAAATGCATAGTTTTAAAGCATCTGAAGAATATTGGTGTTCTTTAAAGTCATTATTCCATGACTTAGGAGTAAATTGTCATCTTGTTTTACAGCATTACTGTTCACAGTCTTTGCCCTGTGTATGTTTGGGCTGTATAGCTTCATGCCAGTAGTGATTAAAGTTACCAGCGCAACCTCAGTCAACCTGGGTATTCTGACTGCGGATCTCTACAGTCTGTTCTTTGGGCTTTTCCTCTTTTTCTATAAGGTACGTATCTTCATTCTTTCACTGTAATTTCAGTTACGTTTTTACTCCAAAATTGTCAGTAAAGCGTAATGTTCTTAAAAGCCTCTGAACAGTCGTTTGCACTTGTACTTTTCTGCAGCTTGTATCGTTCATCGTTGGCAGATGTCAGTCAGGAGGAGTCATACTTAGTTAATTACGTAGCATTGCACCATTAGGCAGATAGCGATTTTCAAACGATTTCACGCTTGATGGAATACGTTACGAGTTAATGTTAAGAGATAGTAAATAATTTCCCGAGGTGTTCAAATGGTAGAGTTCTTGCCGTGAGCCCTATGTGGAACTGTATGTTAGATCTGGTTCATCTCTCCAAGTGTCCAAAGAGAAGGTTTGAATCTCCCTGTCCTGAAAGGCATTTGGTGTCTGAGAGAGGAGCAGTTTGGCTTGATTTCCAGAAATTAATATTTTCTTTTAGAAATTTAATCTGTTCATTACCAACATCTTGGGATAAGAATCAAACTCTCTCAGTGCTACTGCTAAGGAGAGACTAAAGGAACTGAAAAAAAAAATGCACATAAATGTATTATTATTCTGTGCTCTCCAAAAGGCAGTTACTTTTATTGAGCTGTAAAATATTTTTGGTAGTGTCTATTCAAGCTAAATTACAGTGCTAAAAAGATTTCATTCCACCCTATGCTTTTCATCCAGAATCATTCGTGGGAACCTAGTTCACTATAGCAATTGGAGTAATTGAGTCAGTCGCTTGGTGACTGGAAGGGCTTAGTGAGAAGATTGTGAACTTTGCTTAAGAACTTAATTCATATTATTCCATGTGGTTGCTTTCTCTTCAGCATTATGAAGAGCCAGAAGCTTTTAGGTCAGATTTGTTTCTGAAAAGGAAGGCCAATTTATTTTACAGCACGGAGGTCTGGTAATGGTAAGGTCTGACAGCAGCTAGATTTTTCCTTTTAAATAGTCTCTTAGCTCAGCTTTCCTTCCTGTTTTGGGTTCCAAAATTTGCTCCAAGCTAGAAAGCTTCCATTAAAAATGAATGTAGGAAGTGAACCATACTTACATCCTAACAATTAAAAAAATCCTTTCTAAGTCACTTTCAAACATGTATTTTGGGACCCAGGTAAATTAACTCAAGAAGTGATTATAAATTTATATTCATAATAGTAAAGAGGAAGAAGTAAGCAAGAGCTTTGGAAGAGATATAATAAACTTTTATTCTTCAGGATTTTTAGCTTATTTTGGGGAGAGGTTTTTCTGAGAGCAGATCATCCCTTAATTACTAACTGTGGGATATTCTGGTAGCAAAAAGGAAAAATTAATAAGAAAAGATGTTGGGGTGGTATTATGAGAGAATTTCAGATATTTATTAAAATAGGAACTTGCATCTATGGTTAGAAACAATGAAGTAGCAAATAGGGTAGCAATAATAATGCCGCATCTTTTGTAATCAGAGGATCTGAGATAGCTTAGGAATCAAGAAGTGAGAGTGCCTGATTTTGACACAGCTTCTAACATAATACTTGGCAGTAGATAATCTTATTAGCAAGTTAACCATATAGTTTCTTTACCTATGGGGCAAAGAAACCAGGCAGGACATTTCCCGGATTAAAAAGCCTCCTGGACACAGGAATCTACAAACAAAAATGCAAGGAATCACTCTCTATTCCCCATTACCAGATAATATTTCACAGCAAGCCACTGAAGGTTTGGCTGGGCTGCAGAGTGGAGAGCGCCATGGAGAGCTCTGAATTGCTGTGCTCTGAGCCTGCTCTGAAACAGGAACAGCACAAACATACAGCAGCTACAGCAGGGACCGGGCCCAGGAATTTATAAGGTTTTGACTTGTGCACGGTGTTTTGCTAATGCACTCAACTTTTCAGCCCCAACCATGTCTGTTTAAGGTGAAATGTGAATTTTGCATACCTGTTTTGATGAGCTCTTTTTTTTTTTCTTTTACTCCATAATGAATCTTTGCTGTGGTTGTTCCTAATGAGCTCGTTATATAGATACCTGTGATCCCTCAAAAGATATTAAAAAAGGTCTCCAAATGCTTTTGTTGTATAAGCTCCTATGGAGGGAAGTATACTGCAAATACAGACACTAGATGGAGTTACAGTGCTCCAGTAACATTTAAAGTAGTCTTTAGGCTTGATAGTGAGGATGAGATTATAAGCTGCACAGGTACAACTGAAATCAGTGTCTAAAGCAATGAAGTTGCTGCAATATTTGAAATGAAAAAAAAAAAAAAAGGGAAAAAAAAACCAGGAAGAGACCACTGAGCCCTCCCAAAAATGAAGAAAGGGGAAAAAAACAAAAGAGAGAGAAAGAGCATAGGCCTGTTGGAGCAGCATGGTTAAGGTTCACCTGTGTCAATAGCTGCAAACACATAGGCAGGCCTTGAATCACAGCTACACTGCAACAGCTTTGGCATCCTGGTTCGGTGACTGTGTATCCACTCACGGAGGAATTAATTCTGAGCCGCGTTAGAGACATCTACTGCCTTGTACACACTGCGAGAGGGGGTCTGGCAGTTACTGTGAATACCCAGTCTCGCACATCCTTGCATATGAGCACATGTTCGCTCATGGCCTTAGGCTGTGCTCCAGGGAAGTCTTGCCAGTGCCTTGGTACAGACCCAAGCTCTGCCCATTTGATGGGAGTGGGTCAGTCGGGGTAGGACCACGGGCACTGCTGCCACCTCCATCAGGACACCTTCAGAGCCTGGTGCTTCCTCCTGTGCAGAGTGAACTCTTGAGTCCAAGCTCCTCCAGGCAGACAGCCTGCAAGGTGAGGAGGGAGGGCAAGTATCGCAAGGCCACTGTGTTTCAGTCTGCTTTTCCTTTTGCATGGTGCTGTCCAAGGGTTTCCAAGCCAAGTGACTGCCAGCTAGGAATTGCAGTGCCTTAATTGTAGATGCCTCAGTCTTTTTTGGATCAGAGTACACTGTCCAGGTCCTACCATTCATTTCATCCAGCTCTGCTGCTTGATAAACTAGAACATATTTTTCAAGGACATCTAAGGAAGCGCTTGGGAGGTTAGGAAGTATTGACAGTGGGATGTAGGATGTGCTATGTCCTTCATCCTACTGTTTAATCAGTGTGGTTTGGCAAAAGCGGTGTGGAGGATTTTAACAAGTCTGCTGAAAAAGTGTTCCTGGCTGTGGATAACTTGAACACTTTGTATTATTGAATCTGGTGTTATGAAGTAAGCATTTATTTTTCTGTCAAGGTGGATGACTCTCGGCAATTGTTGGACTTTTAACAGGCAAGTGAATGATAGTGAATCAAATGCCTGATGTACCTCAGCAGTTCATACTCTTACCTCACACCTCTCTTAACAGAGCACAAATGCTGATCTTGTAAAAGGAGCCCCAGTCTCCCTCTCTTCAAGGACTTGCTGGGTGTAGAGAGCAAACTGGTTTTGGTCCAGTAATAACATTTATCTAGCCTTGCAGATGGTTAAGAGAGCTGTGCAGAGAACCAGCTGCTCTGGTGACTTGCAGTAGGACGGAGAGATTCCTCTCTTGCCAGGACCTGAAATATTTGGCTGTGCTGAAACAAAATTCTCTTAGGGGTACAGTGTTTCAGCATTCACATGTGTAAACAGCTATCCTTCAGTATCACCATGTTTAAAGCCATTTGTTCTCTCTGTTAAGATTCTTGTATGTAGACCTAAGGAAACTCCCTGTCCAACAGTGTTGAGGATGAGATGCAGAGAAAACCAGCCAGCAGCCTGAGTCTGTCAGTGAATGGAGCTGTTGAATTTTGATTTTCAGACCTGAATACAGATTGTGGTGATATCCTCATTAAAATAATTTTAAAAAGGAAGGGTGGCTTTCACATTCTTAAAACAAGGCAGCATTGACTGTTTTTACATCAGATAAGACTTGATGCATCTCTTTCTTTCCTCTGCCAGTTTTCAGGTCTTTACATCCTGTCCTTCGTTATCATCATGGTGGGCTTCATCTTGTATTGCTCCACTCCAACTCGGACAGCAGAACCCACTGCCTTGCCACAGCCCGGCAGCACTGGCTTGGACAACGCTGCACTAAAGCTCGAGGAGAATGACAGTGAAACTCCAGCCATAACTGTACAGTTCACAAGAGGAGAAGCTGTGGTGGTCAGCACTGATTAAAGAAATGGCAACGTTTCAACATAGAACTTTTTTTTATTTTACTGCCAAATTTCCCTCAAATATTAATCTGGAGAATTGTTCTACTGCCAAGGCATATGTCATGCTGTGCTGGTTTTAATGCACTGGATAGACTTTTTAAGGCCAGATCCTCAATCAGTAAAACTGTATTGATTTACCCTTGCAGAAAATCTGGCCCTTAGAAGAAGACAGAGTAGTATTTATGTGGAGTCTCTGGAAAGTGAGAGACACTTCTTTTTAAATGCTTAATTAACTTAACAGCAAATGCCTGGGGGGGGAGGAAACTAAGCCAAAGCAAGCTCCCAGGTCACTAAGTGGAGCAAATATGTTTTATATTGCATTAAGGACCTAAATCTGCAAGATGCGCTCTGAGGGCTCCATGGTTCCCACACTTAAGTGCTGAGTACCCTCAAATAGGATCATGCAAAAGCCAGTCAGCTTCTCATGGGATCTAGTTCTGCAAGCCATATTACATACATACACCTTCCACGTGCTGATGGACTTATTCCTCCACTGGAGGATTTGCTTCTTACATTGCACGTAAATGTTCATCTCTTCATATTGCTGCACTCCCTGTTGCAGCTGGGGCTGCTACAAGTATTTTATTTTGAATTTTGTTGGTAAGGGAAGTTTGAATGTGTGTTTTTATTATCCCTTCTTTTTCTCTGTCAGTGGCCTGTTGTTTGGTGCATTCCCACTAGGTGGAGGAGACAAAGTGAGGCCCTCGCTTGGTTCAGTAAGACCTGGACGTTTTTTCTACATCAGACAGCTAAAGGGTTTGAAGTGAAGCTCACTTCTCAGTGAATTTCTGTCTGAAATGGGACACATTTCTGCATAAAGAGTTGAATACAATTGGCATTTCATAAAAAATTGAAGCATCTTAGCCAATCCTCACTGCAACAATAATGACATAATCTCCAAAAGGTTAAGTGCTTTCAGTAGATTCATTGGCAGTTTTCCTCCCCCTCTTCCTATTTACAGTAAATGATTAAAAAAATACGAGGCTGCGGTTTTAACATCAGTAAAACCATACTGGGATTTTATTTTATTTTATTTTTTTTGTACAAGCCTTCATAGCTCAGGTGTATGAAGCAACAAAATAATAAAGTTTTCAGCGGCTGAAGAGCTGGCTCTTGGTTTGTTTATTTTTTTAAGCTAGAATTTCTCTATTGCTCAAAATTATATTAATTAATTTTACTGACCAAATGATTCTTTTAATGGCTGAGCTTTGCCATAAGAAGTAAATAAGACATTTTCTGAAGATATTGGTGATCAAATGACACGACTGGTTTTGTATACTTCTGGTATAGTTTATTCAAGCAAAATAATTCAGCAAAAATCTAACCTGACTTTATTTAGCGATAGCAAAACAAACGTTCAGCAGATACTGCAGCAGTGAACATTGCCTTTTCACTGAGTAGTTCATGCTAGGAAGGGTGAAGAGGTGCTGTTGTTTTATGCAGAGTTATCTGGGCCCAGTTGTCCTCTGTTTTACCACTGGAGTAAGATTCAGGTCACAGATTAAGACACCTAAACTGGTGCATCTGTAGACATCTGTACATCTAAAGCTGAACGAACAAGCAGCTGGAGACCAGGTGGGGTAAGGAAGTCTGATGGCAGTAGATGCTTAAGAGGAGCCACCTGGGGATGAAGTTGTAGTTCTCCATGCCAAATCTGAGTGGCCTACAACCTGGAGCTAAGTCCCACCCACTGTTAGCTGTGTGAATAGTTAACTGTGTGTGGTAACAAAGCAAACAGCAAGCAAACCTATAGGTCTATAGGTGAATGTTCCAGAACTCTTCACCTATTGGTGCGTGATGGGATTCAGCTCCTAAATGTAGCTAGTTATGTGTTTTATGCAAAAAAGTCACTGAGGTCCTGTCTAAAGTGCCTCTCTGGGGGGCATGATTCAGTTGCCTCAGTGTCAGCTGAGACACCCTGTGGAGTCTGTGGCATCTCTAGGGGCTGGCAGATAGGACCCAGGATCTAGAGGAGACATGTGACCTGGAGCAGATTGTGGAAGCTAGATGAGGTGCCCTAGGATCTCTGAAATGGCACTGCAGCCTGTGGTTGAGACACTCAACACTTTCTTGATGACCACATGGGGTCATATGTGATTACTTTAGATGCTTAACCTTTACACAGCTAAAATTGGATGAGATGAATCCCAGATGAAGCTTATGGCCCAGCCTGCAATATGTTCTTTCTGTGGTCGCTGGGTGGCATTTCAGCACCTCTGTGGTGGTTGCTACAACAGCTAGCTGTGTGTGTCCAGTGGTTGAGAGCGCTCTTTGGTGTGCCTGCATGTCCCATATGCAGTGCAGAATGAAAATTGGTCTCATTTTATGCACCTCAGGAAAAATAGTAGGGCCCTTTGCACAGATGGCAACTGTAATCACTGTGCAATAAAGAGAAAGCACAAGGCAGCAGCTGGAGTTACAACAGAAGCACAATGGAAAGTGTGGTCAATCAAAGGCTGGTATCAGTGGGTAAAAGCTTTACCTTGGCAAATGGAAAAAGTAAAGATAAGTTAGCTCCTAAGTTCATAGCATCCCTTCTGATAGCTCCCATCGAAAGAAAAGCGGGGGTGGGGAGGAGTTTCCTTTGTGCCAAAGCAAGGAATAAAAGGGGACGCTTGGCCCACCAGCTTGCTAATGTTGTAGCAGCTCCACCAGAGGATGCTGCTTGGCTGGTGTCGTGTAGTGCTGGCATGAACAGGAGGGGACATGGCAGCTTCCCCAGGGACAGCCCTGGAGGTTTTACATTAGCACCAACTAACACAAGCTCTTACAGCGTGTTTGGGATTGACCAAGTGGGGTGAGGCATCTGCGGTGGTGCCGATCTGGAGCGACCTGTGCCTGGATGAGGGAAGAGGTGACTTTGGAAGGGGCGGAACAAATGCTGAAGGCAGGGACCCGAGTCAGCGAGAAACTGAAAGAAACGACTAAAAAGAGAAGCCATCTCATGGCTCTATGCATGAGTTGAGACTGTTTTGAAGAGAAACTGCTGGTGTGAGTAGGAAGCTTTGGGGAAATCCTGTTTATTGATGAAGAAGGCACTGAATCCTGTTGTCCTGGAAACAGTGGATCCTCTGCTTCCCACCAGGGTTCCTCCAGCTGCCATGCTCCCCTGGCAGGTCCCACTGTGGGGCCATGCCTCCCCTACCTATATCTGCTCTCCCCTGGGCCTGAGCATCACTCCCTGGCATCTGGAGTGGAGCCTGCCCCTGCCCTGCTCACAGGAGGAATGTTAGGGGTGTTTTTGCAGCTATCTTCAGAGGTTACCTAACTCAAAAACACTTTTTAGTGAGATTTCCATGTGAGAGAGAGAAATCACATGTACCTGTTTGGCATGTTTTCAACCCAACTTGCTGGTCTTTTTCTCATTGCTGAGTTCTGGTGGGGTTGCTTTGCTCATTTCAAATGAGCAATGAAGTAAATGGTAGAACACGTATTGGAAAACGTCAGGAGAACTTATGAGCTTTACTGTGCTGAAAAATAAACGCATCTGGTTGAAACGTTAATCTACAATATTGCTTTGCTAGGGCAATAATCTTGCTAAATTAGATAACCACTAGCTGTTGCCTATTTGTCTGGGGCAGAAAATGCTACGGCTGTCCAAGCTTGAGGAATAGCAGTTATCCCACCTTATGAATCTGAATTAAAGTAAGGATTAGATCTTGGTTATGTGTTAAGAAATAGTGTATCCTTGGCAATGTTTTCTGAGAATTTGTAGATGTATTATTTAGGGATTACATATTTGAGGGATTGTGAAAGGAAATGGATCACCCCTTGGATCTTCTGGTAGGTGATTATTGCATGAACTGAAGGTTTTGTGCTGCTTAAACCCATCAGCATCAACAGGCTGTGTTTGAAGATTATTAAGTCTTCATTGCAGCAGAATCAAGGGAGAAGGACCTACATTTGGTTATTGAAGTCTGGGTGCCATTAAATTTGTAGTGCAAACACAAAGATGTTTTAATTAGGTGGTTATCCCATACTGTCACTACAACAGGACAAAGATCATGCTTGTTGTAGTATGTTATATTTCTAAATATGGTATTAGTTCCAGGCTTGTATTTATTTTAATTTTAACTTGGATACTCAGTGTGCTCCCATGTAGAATGCACCCTTTGAGGGGGGGATGGTATTTTATTTTATTCTCTATAATTAGTGGTATGATCAGTGGTAACATAATGCAGGTTTTATCTGAAAGTACATAGAAGCGTGTATTGACTCAGACTTTGGCTGGTCTTCAAAACGCAGGACCATCTTGTGGTGTGGTGTGAGTGCACAGGCTGTAGCTAATCTCAATATATAGACCACTGAAATCAAAATTGTGTAAAATACATGTGAGATTACAAGCACAGCCTATTAACTATGGATTTGTTCTTCCGAGGCTTTTAAAATATGACTATAATAGTAGATTGTAATCTGATTTGAGCAAATTGGGCCGGACAGGACTTCTGCTGAGCCACAAGGAGGGGGGAGCCGTGCAGGGCAGCGTGCCAGCTCAGATTCCCCATCACTTACACTGGGACAGCTTAGTGATTTGGTAGACTTATATTCTGAAATGAGAACTTTAAAACTCTGTTTCACAGACACAGGCTGTGATTTAACTTCATAAGCTGTGATTTAACTTCATACAAAAGATTTTCATGCCACATTGTTGGTAGCTAATGTTAAGATGTGTATTAATGCCACCAAGAAGGTCTGGAGGTCTTTCAAGATTTCAGCAAGGACAAGGTTGATATTTTTTGTCAATCCTTCTGTCAATGACCCCATGACCTTGCCATCTTCATGATGCAAGGCTCTTGTTTCCCTCCCTGTGACCCTGCTGGATGCGGGGGGCTCCTCCGGCATCCTGGGAGGGTGGCCAGCCACACACCGAGGGTTGTCACACCTGGTGTCCTACCCTTCCTCACCCTAAATTCCTATTCCTGTCCCTGGGGAGTGGCTACCTGGGCGAACAGGATGCAAAGCTGATTTGCAGAAGGGCTCTGCATCACAAGCCAGCACTGCGGTGTGGTCCAGGCTCTGGACAGAAGAGGCACTTGAAGCCTGGCCTGGCAAAGCCCTAAG